AAGTGGTACTCCAGATGTTTTGGGATTGCACCTAAGGCACCTATTACTATTGGTACTATCTCTGCTTTCTTTTGCCACAGTTGTTCTACTTCTATTTGCAATTATTATTATTATGGTTGGTCACATAGTCAGCCAGATGTTTAGACTGGATCTGGCATTTTTATCGTATCATCATCATCATCATCATCATCATCATCATCAGATGGTCCTGACAGAAGTCCTAAGTCTGGGCTGCTTAAACCCCAACGGCAATCCTGATGAAAATCTGTCTCCCTGGCACATGGTACTGAATTAAAAAAAAATAATAACCATAAATTCGTACTTTCTAATGCAGTGGTTCTCAGCTGGGTAATTCTGGGAGTTGAAGTCCAAACGTCTTAAAGTTGTTGACACTGAAAAATACTGTTCTAATGGCACCTCTGGGTTCACATTCTTACTGCAAAAGTACATATATGTGGATTACATCTCTGAGTGATGCCTGCAGATATCAGGACATCAGTCAACCACAGAAACATTTTCCATGAGCCACCCTTCTAATTAAATTAGAAAAATTGTGTAACTCTTTTTTTTATTATTATTATTTTGGAGATCTTGCATGAGATTTTTGTGAGATGATGGAAATTAAATTAGAAAAATTGTGTAACTCTTTTTTTTATTATTATTATTTTGGAGATCTTGCATGAGATTTTTGTGAGATGATGGAAATGTTGCATGGTAGATCATGGAATCTTAAAATGAGATTTCTTTAAACCTAGTGGAATTAAATTATCTTTTGAGGCTTGGGGCAGTTGGTGGATGGATGGGACACTGAAGTCCTGGGAAAGGTTACTACTGCCAAAGATAGAGAATTTCTTATGGCAAGCTTTCAATAGCTAGTCTGAAAAGTATCTCCCGTGTGTGCATTTAGGGTGCGCCTGGTTTTTCTCTCTGTTTAAGTAAAGAAGTCCAGAGCCTCTTGAATTCAGTTGTACTCTTTTTTTTCAAATAACTTTATTAGATTTTAAGATAAAGACAATAAAAACTAACAAAAACTATTATTAAAGATAAAGAATGAAAAAGAGAGGAAGAACTAGAAAAAGGAGAGAGAACAAAGTCAAAAGTGCAAAAAAAGGGAAAAGAAAGAAAAAATACAAAAAAGAATGACTTCCGACTTTCCTCACAACAGATATAAGTAACAATGTACATAAACTCTTACTTTAAGTTTGCAACTTAACTTTCATTTTTTCTATTATTCAGTATTGATTCTACTCATCAAATCCATACAATATAATTTCATTTTTTTCTGTTTCATGTAAAAAGTCCAAAAAAGGCTTCCAATTAGCATTAAAATTATTCAATGTCTTTTCTCTAATCAAAGCCATCAATTTCGCCATCTCAGCCATCTCCATCATCTTCACCAACCATTCTTCCATTGTAGGTCATGTCAAGTCTTTCTACCTTTGTGCATATAAAAGCCTTGTTGCTGTCATCATATATAAAAACAAAGTTCCATGAGTTTTTTTCCAATTATTTATCCATCAAACCCAAAAGAAAAGTCTGTGGTTTTGATTATATATTGATCTTTAAAATCTTCTGAATTAA